CGGTGCTAGGAATGCTCATTCCCAGGTCGGGCGAGGGCTTTGCTGACAGGACACTCCATGTGCTGGTAGTGGACCAGGCTCCGTTTGCAGTGACCAGAGGCCCCTGGACCCTTGTCTCACTCGTCTGTTACCGTCCAGGAAACGGGTTCTCTCTTGCTGCTTCTTCCCACATTTAGAGTGACACTATTATAGTCATTGGTCTTGTAGGACTACATACCTGATCTATTGTTTCAAATCACCTGACCGTCATTGATTTTATCTGAGGCTCAGCCACACATCTGGTAATGCAAGAAACAGTAACCTGGTAATACAGGCAGACTGCAAGTAATATAGCCAATAACGTTAGCGGGGCCATCAGTAAGTATTTAAGCTGAGAGGTTCCACTGGGTGCGGCCCAGGATCTCCCCAGGTTGTCTGACTTAGTCTGTTTTGCACCAGTCACTGTCTATAAGGGAATGATATATTGGCGTCATACATAAAGTCCACCAAAGAGTCTGCATGTCTAAGGCGAGTGGTGGGTCGTCGTGACCCCTTACAGGATAGAGACAGGAACGTTGTCTTCTAAGGAGTTACATGGCTGGAGACAGAAGGAGAAAAGCTGATACTTGTGGTTGAGCATGTATTTCTGCCACGGGGGAAGTCTGGGTAACACAGAACACAGATGCACCATTCACACTGGAGGGGAGGGAGGAGGCTGAAACGGGCAAAGAAAAATTTTATGTTTCAATTTTTCTTGTCTTGCCTTAAAGTATGAATTTTATTTCATCAGAACCAAGCCTGTGAATCAAGCTGTTACGAGCATTTTCATTACAGACACAAGTTTCCATCATTCTTGGGTAAATACTGAGGAGTGGGGTCACTGGATTATATGATAAATGCATGTTTAATTTAAAATATTAAAAACAAGACAAGAGGCCCAAAGTAGAGTCACTTATGCTCAGCCCCATGTCACCCAGAGACTTAATTTATAGTCTAGGCTCTCCCAGGAATGGAATCTTCAACCGTGAATCAGGAATCCCCTGAGCAGCACCAGGGAGGTCATCTGCCCTGGAGACCCCTGCGGCCCCTAAAGGGAAGCTACCTTGCAATAAACAACCTGCTCTTTTATTTTGCCAAGTGTAACTTCCTGTCCTTGCTCCCTTCTGCCTAGAAAAGTCTTTCATTGTGTACAGCTCCTCGGAGCTCCTCTGCTGGATGGGACACTGCCCCATTCATGAATCACTGAAGAAAGCCAATAAGATCTTTGAAATATTACTCAGTTGAATTTCATTTTTTTTTTAACAACGAGAAATGGCTACATTGATTTGCAAAGCAGCTGCGCCATTTTGTGTTTCCACCAGCGGTGAGTTCCAGTTGCTCCTTGCAAGCACTTGTTTTTATTTTTTTTAATTTCAAGCCATTCTGGTGGGTGTGCAGTAATATCTCCCTGTGGTTTCAGTTTGCAGTTACCCAATGACTGATGACACTGAGCATCTTTTCATGTGTTTATTTACCATCCAGCTGTCTTCTTTGGGGACATGTTTAGGTCTTTGAGGTTTTTACCGAGTCGTGCGTTTTGTCGGTGTTGAGTGTTGTGAGTGCTTCATCAATTCAGGAATCGAGTCCTTTTTCAGTTTTATGTTTTGAAGATGTTTCCCTCCCAGTTGGCGGCTTGTCTTTTCATTTTCTTGACAGTGTTTTTCAAAGAACAGAAGTTTGAAATTTTGATGATGTCCAATTTATCAGATTTAAAAGAAATTTTATTTATGGATCATGCTTTTGGTGTTGATGCTAAGAAATCATTGCCTAACTCAAGGTCACAGAGATTTTCTCTTGTTTCCTCCTAGAAGTTTTTTAGTTTTATTGAGATTTCCTGTCCGTCTTTGGCCAACATTTATTACAGACAGGGGACCCAGGGCTGTGGAGCCCCAGGGGAATGAGACAGTCCTTCGCTCCAGGCCGCTCCAGGCCAGGGAGCTGGGGCTGGAAACAGGCTGCGGGGTGTCCTGCTGTGGACGCTCCTCGTGCTGGGCAAGCGGGGCTGCTCCCGGACAAGGGCAGGCACTGACCTTTACAGGACAGTCGGCGTTAGGAGAAAGTAGCCGGGGGCGTGGGAAGCCCGCTGTCCCAGCCCGCTGTTCCGGGTGGTTGTGGGGAGCCGTGGGGAGGCCTGGAGGCTGGTGGTACGGCAGCTGCCTGTCGTTTGCATGCTGGGGTCTGAGTGCAGGGCGCCTGGCAGGCCCGCAGCGGGCCTGACCCCCAAAGAGAGGGTGGGGGCGGCCGGGTGACATGGCTCCTGCCTTGTCTCCTGAGGAGCGGGGCCGGTCTGAAAGTGAGTCAGATTCGCCTGTATCACAAAGAGCCCATCCCTGGGGGGCAGCCCCGTGCTGATCCGTGACTGTCTCGGGCTCCCACCCTGGGGGCGGATCCCAGAGCCACTGCTTCCGCACTCCACGTACCTTCCTCCTGGTAGGTTTCCTCCCAAGGCCCTTGCAAGGTGCACGTGCTGACCAGGTGGTCCCGGGAGCAGCTGGAACGTTCTCTCTGGTGTTGGCAGCTATTGTGTGTATTTGAAACACACCACCAGAACCGGGGTGGTGGGGGAGCGAGGGCACGTTCCAGACACCGAATGAATTAACCCCGCAAAGCACAGCCGTAGCTTTCTTCAACCAGCTGGCACTGTAGGAAAGCAGCTGAAGCCTGGGGGTTAGTCACGAATATCTTGGGAACGCGAAACCAGAAAAGAAATCAGCACATTCAGTGATTTCACTTAATCCGGTAACAATAAGGACACCTGGAGCCACAGCAGACGCCCCCAGCCCGTGTGACGGGGCGGGCTCTGCCCCTCATCCAGAAGAGGGGTCTGCCCTCCTCTTCGAGCTCCTGTGACCGCGGGCTGCCTTTTCAGGCTGTCACCGTTACAGGGAGCCCACGTCATTCCGCTGGGGTCCTCTGGGAGTCTCTTGGGGACGACAGGCCTCAGAAGGTCTCTTGTCAGAAGAGGAGGCCGCCAACTTTGAGCAATAAACAAGAGGGCAACCAGAGCCCATCTTGGTTTCTTCCCTACATACATTCTTTATTATGTCAAGCTCAAGTTTTGCTTTGGTTACTAAATTGGTTGTTCCCACTGCCACCCCCACCACCTGCCCTACACACATAGTCACACAGAGCCAGAAACTGGGCAGACAGCTTGGGCATCGGCTGGGGGAGCCCCTTCCCCCGGCATCCCGGTGCCCGCCTCTGACAGCGGCAGGTGAGGGGAGGACCGGGCAGGGATGAGCGCATCTCTCAGGGGAATGGAAACTAAGTTGTGACAACAGTGTCGGAGATCCTGGTGTCCTGTCACTGCCACGCGGACTGTGTTGGCTCCAGAGCATGAATAGCCGGGCCCTCGCCCTGAGGCAGGGTTGGGGGTGCCGGGATCCCCCACCACGGCTCCTGAACTCCTTTCTCAGCAAGGGGCCTTGGAGGTGAGCCTCCGGGCTTTCTCTGAGTCCCAAGTGTCGTGTGGACAGTGGGGCCTGTGGATGCTGCCCTCCTGGGTTTGCAGGGCAGGGGCTGCCCTCTTCCCAGCTTGTATTTCCCTTTTGCCAGAGGCCGTGAGAGAGCGCAGGGGGCAGTGGGTGTGGGGAGGGGACCACCTCCCCACCGTGGGTGGGGGCTCTGGCCACGGCACGTCCCTGTCTGCATCTGTGCCCGGCAGCGTGGGGAGAGGACTTGTGCCCACCCCCAGCTCTCGGGAGTGCCAGTGCCCTGACGGGAGCTGGTGGAGGGTGTGGGGGAGGCGTGCCCTGCACCGCTTGCATTGTTTCTGGAGGAAATAGGACAGAATGAGTCAGAAGTGGCCTGTTTCCTTAGAAGCTGTGCCACTGACATCACAGGGCTTTGCCCCCTGTCCAACCTGACGTGGGGGCCCCACTTAGGAACAAGGAGACAGAAAAGGTTGGAGAAAAGGTAGACTCTATGCTTTAATCACTGGGTCCCTAAACCTGTGGTTGCCATTGGCTACCACTTAACAGCTCCCATAAATTCATGTATTATGATGTTTCCATTAAGATGTCTGAACTCTTAAACCATAAAATTGTAAAACATTATTTACTATCACTGTGAAATCGGGAAGGACAGCACACATTTCAAAAGCTGTCCTTCAGGAATAAAGTCAGGAACGGAGATGAATCCATAGATGGTTTTAGAGATTTGGGGTTGGATAATTTTAGGAGCTATTTCTCAACCATGTTATAAGTTAATGGGGCTAATTTTTATAAGGTTAATGCTTATCTGTCAACAAGGTAATAATGCCGGAAGGCTCTGTAAGCACATTAGTGGCGTTCTTATCCTGAAAACAGTCTGGGGATCGGTTTATTTGGTAATTGTTTGGAGACCTTTATGCGTCTTATGGGAGAAGGGCTGTCAGTGCTGCGTGGCTCCGCTTTGAATTTGCCCGTTAATTCGGCACCTATTTTGTGAGTGGTGGGGCCCCCGGCCCGGCCTGGGTGCCTGGTGAGCGGGGTGGGGGTGAGGGAGCTACTCCAGATTGTGGAGAGAAAGGGCCTCTTGGAGGAAGAACCCCCGCCCCGACTCCCAGTGTGAAGAGCAGGGGCGGGGGCTTCCGGATGCAGAGCTCTTCCTTGGGGACCAGCTGGGCGTGTCTGAGGGGCTGGAAGTCTCGGGACTGAGGCAGGCGGCCCAGCGGCTGGGCCTTTGGGAGGCCTGACAAAGATCTTGGATTTCCATTCTCAATGCAGTGAGAAGCCGCAGGGGGGTTCTCCACAGTGAGGGACATGATCTGACTTGTGTGTTTTTAAAAATATTTTAAAAAATTTAAATTGTGGTTAAAAGCACACGCACACCTTAAAATTTACCATCTTAGCCATTTTCATGATTTGTGGGGTTTTTTTGGGGGGGTGCTTAGGTTCATTTATTCACTTATTTTATTTATCCGTTTTTTTTAATGGAGGTACTGGGACTTGTACCCAGGACCTCATGCATGTTAAGCACTGAGCTGCACCCTCCCCCTGTGATTTGCGTTTCCTAAAGACCCCTCTGGCTGCTGAGTGGGCATTAACGGTGGTGGGCAAGATGGGGAGAGCAGAGCCAGAGACCGTGAATGGGGCGGGTGGGCTGCTGGGGCGTCAGGAGAGAGGTGGAACCGGTCAGGGGAGCGCAGGAAGCCAGGCTTGGAGGGGTGAGTATCAGCAAGGCCTGGCAAGAAAGTGGTGTTGGCTCGAGCCTCGTGGGAGGGGCTGGATGGTTCACAGTGGGGGGTCTCAGAGGAGGGTCTTGGGACTGGGGATACCCCAGACGAGAAGATGAGGGCCCCGGCCGGGGTAAGAGGCCCCGCTCTGGCCACGCCGTAGGTGAGGACCACGCGGCTGGTGGAGCTCTCTGGGCCATCCCTTAATTTGGAGAAAGGTCGCGCAGAGGCCCCGTCAGGGACGTGAGCAAACCCCCTGGGCATGGGTCGTGGCTGATGGTGACTCGGGAGGACAGCAGCTGCCTCCTAGGGCGACTCTGGACGCCGGCCGAGGCTGGCATGGAGGCAGCGTGATGAGAGTCTGTTCGGAGATGAGGGAAAATGCAAGGTCTGAGCAGGGAGTGGCGTCCCCGCTGAGTGTGACAGCTCTTGAGTATGGGCTGACTTCAGGAGGGACATCCGAAGGGGAAGAGCCAGAGCTGTGCTCAGTCTGCCCGAGAAAAAGGCAGGGCTCTGGGGGACACGGCAGGAGCCTGAGCTCCAGGCCAGGTGGCGGATTCTAGAAACCCAGCCCAGGGGAGAAGGCCAAGGTGCCTCTGAGGTTTCAAACCCTGGAGAGGCTGGCAAATGGGGAGCCGGGAGAAGCTGGTGCTCAGGGTGGATCTGGGTACTGTGCTCGGGCTGATGGCTGGAGCTGGAGGCTGCCCCCTTGGGAGGCAGGTCAGTGGATAGACAGGTGCAGGGGTCCCAAGGAGGCCCTCCCAGACTGGGGAGGCTTCCGGAAGGGGTCCCCCAGTTCACTTTGGAAGGCGAGTTGGAGAGGGTCAGACCGAGGGCAGGTCCCCGTTTGTCCCTCCACATCCCCTCTCACCTCCTTGATGACGGTGGGCCAGGGAGCAGAATGGGTTTCTTCTGAGTGAGGTCTGAGGCATTTGTCTCCCCAGCTCCCCGCGGGGCCTCCGTGGGTTGGCTGTGTTCCTCTCCCGAGGCCTCAGCTGCTGCTCTGTGTCCAGCTCTCTCCGGGGTTCGGCTGTTTCCTCCGCCAACCCCAGGTGGGCCCTGGGGTGCTAATGATCCCAGCCCCAGGCTCCACACCTTCCCGGGTGCCCCCCCCAGGTCCCGCCCACCCCTGTGAGCAGTTCCTTTCTGAGCTGTCCTCAGCTTCCCACTGATGTCTGACATTTAGGCCTTTGACCTAGTTTGAGTTAACTTTTGTGTGGTGTAAGGTGAGGGTCCAGCTTCATTCTCTTGATGTGGATGTCCAGTTTTCCAGGCACCGCTTGTTGAAAAGACTGCCCTTCCCTATTGCACGGTCTCGGCAATACATGGTAGTTTATATTCTTAGTTAGTCTTTCAAAAGACCTTTTGAAACCGTTCCTACAGAAAGAGGTCTTGACGTATTTTATCCCCAGATCCTTCTCTGCTGCCTTGGCTCTTTCTCTTTCAGTTCTTTGATGGGAAGCCACAGTGTAGGCAAGGGAACAGCTACTGATCAGCGGCCACCAGCTCTGTGGGATGCCGACTTCTTGGTTCAGCTTTAGAGACAGAAGGATGGCCCAGGGCAATGATTCTAAGGGCTTGGTCTTAATATAGCTCCAAGATTACAGCCTCCGTCTAGGGTCTGTGTTTCATGGTTAGAGACTCAGCTTCTTCTGTTTCTTATTCCAGATCAAGCCCCACGTCATAGTTTCTGCAAGCCCGTATTCCATTTCCAGAGTCTGTACTCGGTTTGAGATGGTGTGTTTGGTGACGTGTAAATGTTCTTTTCTGGTTAGTTTTTGTTTTAACATTTCTTGATTCTCCTTTTCTGTAAGTGACGAATGCTGATGGGTTGAATGAATTGAGGCTCGCCGTCTTCCTTCGGATCCGCGTGGAAACCTGCTCTTTTCTCTTTTCACCAGGAAGGAATCTAAGGCTAATGGGATCATTTTTCATCTCAAGACCAGCAGGAAATAATCAGCTCTGAAGAGTTTCCTGTGGCCTCAGCCCGAGTCCGGGATTCCTTCCGCTGCTCCCAGACCAGATTCTCAGCGCTGACGTTTCGGTGTCAGGCGAGAAGGCAGCCAGTGCCCGTCCAAGAGCCAGCACCGGAGGGCCCACGCTCTTCCTCTGGGACTGGGCTTCTCACCCTCAGCTCCTGGCGTTTTAGACCGGATCATTCTTTGCCGTGGGGCTGCCCTCGGGGCACCAGGGTGTCCAGCAGCATCCCCGGCTCTGCCGCAGTGCCCCCAAGCCGTGCCAGCGAAGAGCGGCTCCACACCTTGCCAGCTGTCTCCCCGGGGGCAGGCCCCCCGCCCACCCCTGGAAGAGGTCAGGAGCAGAGTCAGCGTGTGTCCCAGAAAGCTCCAGGAGATATTTTCAGCATGTTGTTCTCTTGCCTTCTATTTCCTGCCAAGTCCCCTGGTAGTTGAGCTATGTGAACATTCTTATTTTGTTAGTTCTCAGACTTGAATGCCTCCGCTCTCTGCTTCCTGGTGCTCATTGTCCTGGGAGTGCAAACCTCAGGGCCCTCTCTCGCTCCCCAAGACTCCTTATTATTTGGGATAGTCCAGAATACTTTCCCTGTCGCCTTTCCATTTTTCTTGCCTTAAAAGGGTAATAAATCTGAGGCCCAAGGCAACCCCTCCAACACAGGCTCTGAAGGCGGCGAGGAGGGGACCGAGCAGCACGTTGGAGGGGGCGGGAGGTGCAGGCAGGGGCTCCGACTCCCTGCCCTCCGGTGCCCGGACGCCTGATGGTATTCCTAGAACAGCATCCCCCTCCCCTCCCTCTCTTCTCTTTTCTACTTGGCTCTGTACAATCTCTGAATGATGGTTTAAGTGTTAATTCTTATACTATTCAGGAGAGGAAAGGGGCTTGATAAGAAAATAAAATGAAAAATTTAAGGCAAACACCCCCTGGGAAGACCCTCTCCCTGCCCCTGTGGGAGTGGAATCCTAAATTTAACTGCACAGTGAAGCCTCGAATAACACGGGTTTGGACTGCACAGTTCTACTTACGAGTGGATATTTTTCAATAGTAAGTGCTACAGTGCTGGTCGAGTCTGTGGATATGCAGGAACGACGGATGTGGAGGGCTGACTATAAATGACAGGAGATGTGGAAAACAGTAGGAGGTTCCTTAAAAACTGAAAATAGACTTACCATCCAGCCATCCCACTCCTGGGCACATATCCAGAGAAAACTCCAATTTGAAAAGAACATGCACCCCAGTGTTCATAGCAGCACTATTTACAATAGCCAAGACACGGAAACAGCCTAAATGCCCATCAACAGATGACTGGATAAGGAACTTGTGGTAAATCTATATACTGGAATACTACTCAGCCATAAAAAAGAATGAAACAATGCCATTTGCTGCAACATGGCCCAGTACTTAACCAGGTGCTGGGATGTGGAGAGTGGAGAGCAGGGCGTAAAGCTAGTGTCAGCACCAGCTGAAATGGTTTCCCCACTGTCCCCTCTCATCCTCTCACCGTCCCTGGAAAGCTGCGTTGATCTTGCAGAGCCCACCACCCCTCCGAGCATCCTGTCCTCGGCATCCTGTCCTGGCATCCGTCCCCGGCAATCTCCCTGCCAGCGGGGCTCTCTTCCTGGTTCAAGAGGGGACATTACTTATTTCAGTTCTGTCTATTTTGATTTCTTGAAGAAGATGGAATTTGAGGGGAGGAATCTGGCTGGTGCATGAGGACAAAAGAGAAGCCTCCGTCTGGGGAAATAATGGGAGAGACAAGTGAGGGGAGCTGAGGAAGGAGAGCCTGGCATTTGGGAGGGGCCTGGGGAGAAAGACCCTCTGGGTACATTCGTTTGGGAATAATCTGATTGAACTCAGAGATTTCAGGAGAATAAAGGAAGGTGTGATGATGCAAATGAAGCAGCCCTGGGAATCTGGCCTCAGAGCAAATCACCCGTCAGCCTTTGAAAAGCGGCTGCACGTTTTTTCAGGTGGTTGTCTGGGTCGCCAGAGGTGAGGAGAGGGGTTGAGATCTGGAGTTTTTTTAATTGAAGTGTAGTTGATTTACAATGTTGTGTTAGTTTTAGGGGTACAGCAAAGTGATTCCGTTATACATATATATATTCTTTTTCAGATTCTTTTCCATCATAGGTTATTGCAAGCTATTGAATCTACTTCCCTGTGCTGCACATCACGTCCTTGTTGTTTGTCTATTTTATACATAGTAGTTTGTATCTGCAAATCCCAAACTCCTAATTTATCCCCCCTCCCTTGCCCCCTTAGTGACCATAAGTTTGTTTTCTGTTAGGTCTGGGGTTTTGACTGGGATGCCTTTTTTTTACTTTTCCTTTTTTTTTTTTTGGTTCAACGACTTAGGGAAGTGTTGGGGAGAATTTCCATCCTCTTCCTGCTGCTTTTTGTCTTTACATTCTTACCTTTCTTCTGAAGAATAAATAAAAGGCACTTCATTTCTGGGGTGACCTGGGCAGGTTTTGGGAAGTGTAGACTCATTGCAGAATCACCTATGTTTTCACGAAGTAAACCCTGCAATAATCATCTCTAAGTAGTTGCAATCGTAATGTAAAAGGGTGTCTTGATTAGAGATATTTTACTGAAGTCATCTTCAAGAACCAGACTGACACATAACTGGTTGGTTCTGCAGTAACGGATACAGCTCATCAGTCATTCTCCCCAGAATCACTCAGACTATGTTTGTTCACTTTATATTGGGTGTCCTAATAGCATTAGTTGCCGTCTAGGTCTTCACCTAGGAATTCTTTCATCATTGCTGTGGAAACCAGCATGAAAAGCTGTGGGCCAAGGAAGAAAAATAATTGGTGCCAAACATCAGTAAAATATGCGAGAAGTGTTTTTTAAAATACAGAATTTTTAAAATTGTGATACTTGGAACCAAGCTGAGACTGATAAGGCACTGAACTTATCATATTAATGGGAATCGTGAAAAATTTTTCTCAGAAACACTCTTAAAATATTATTTTCACCTGTAGCCACATTCATACAGCTGCCAGGGCCACCGACTGCAGAATGAGCTCTACGGAGGATCTTGGACACCTGCCCCAGCTAATCCTTTAAGTGGGAATAGGAACTGGACAGCCCTGGGGGAGACTGAAGTGGTCAAGGGAACCGGTGTCCTCCGGCCGGAAGAGGAGACACAAACAGGAGGAGGTCCCGGCTGCCCTGGGCTTGGGGGGCGGCCTGTCCTTTTTCTCAGAGGGGTGAGTGGGATGCACTGGGATGCAGTGAGGGGAGAGGAGGTCTGAGCGGCTGAGCACCAGCTGTGACCCCCCGGAGGCAGTTAACAGACCCCTCAGAAGTGGCAGCTGAGTTTTGGTCTTTGTGTATCTTGTTGTCCATAATCTGTACATGCATGCAGTTATTTTCAGTCCCTTACAGTTTCTTTGTATCCTGCTGCTCCGGGGAGACATTTGTCCAGGTGCAAGCCCTGCAGCAAGGGCCCCAGCCTCCCCCCACCCCGTCTCAGCTGCACCTGCTGCTTTGCTCAAGTTGTCTTTCATAGAGTATTTTTCTGAGGGGGAGTAACTCTGCCCCACAAGTCAGGTCTGACCAATTAAAATATGCTCTATTAGTTTGAAATATCATTTTTGTCCAAAAGAAGAAGCTATGCTTCTGTGAAACCTAATTTTCAATTAGTTCATTTACATCTACTTTCAACCCTAAAGCTTCAAGGCTGATGGATATAGGATGTCTGGACTCAAGCCGACCTGTTTTATGTGAGGAGATACATGCATGTGTGTGTGGGTGTTTGCATGTGTGTGTGTGGTAGCAGTGCTGTGCCAGGTGCCCCTGACAAAGGAGAAGCCATTGTTTTGCTGAAAAGTGATGCCAGAATATCAATAATATTGCACTTAAAAAAAAATTGAAATACAGTTGATTTACAGTGTTGTGTTAGTTTCAAGTGTACAGCAGAGTGATTCAGTTATACATATACATGAATGTTCTTTTTAGATTCTATTCCATTATAGGTTATTACAAGCTATTAAATAAAGTTCCCTGTGCTGTACAGTAGGTCCTTGTTGTTTATCTATTTTATACAGAGTAGTTTGTATCTGCTAATCCCAAATTCCTAATTGATCTCACTCCTCCCCTTTCCCCTTTGGTAACTATAGTTTGTTCTCTATGCCTGTGAGTCTATTTCTGGTATGTAAATAAGTTCATTTGTATCCTTTCTTTTTTTTAAGACTCCACATATATAAGTGGAATGATATGTGATATATTTATCTTTGTCTGACTTACTTCACTTAGTATGATCATCTCTAGGTCCATCCATGTTGCTGCAAATGGCATTATTTCATTCTTTTTATGGCTGAGTAATATTCCATTGTATATACATACCACATCTTCTTTATCCATCTGTCTGTTAGTGGACACTTAGGTTGCTTCCATGTCTTGGCTTTTGCAAATAGTGCTGCTGTGAACATAGGATGCACATATAGTTTTAATAATTTGGTAAAAGCTGTTGTCAAATTGTAGTGATTAGCCTGGTGCAAAGGTAACCACCTCAGAGATTGAATGCTCCATTTGCAACCCAGTCCTAAGGGCTCGTTCTCCATGACAACAGTGGGGACTGTGGTGTGTCAGGGAACAGCTCTGTGGTGTCACTCAGCAGGCTCCAAAGTGGGCACACACGTCTTTCTTTTCTGTTCTTGTACAGAAAGACCCTCAGGGATGAACATGAAAGGTGCAGCCAAGCCCTGGAGTCCAGTCACCAAAGCGGGGAGCCATGGGCTGGACCGCGCGCGGGCCCTCCCCACCGCCTCTTCCGGCATGAAGAGTTCCAAGTCTTCCACCTCGCTGGCTTTCGAGTCCCGACTCAGCAAGGTATGGACCAGAACATGCAGGGCAGGGCTGCTGGACACCCTGGTGGCCGTCAGCCAGGCAAGTAGCCTCTTGAGGTGGAAAGGAGGCTGTGAGGACGGTCCCAGGAGTATCTTGACCTAAAGGCACAGGGCAGAGGGGGTTAGAGAGGGAATCTACGGAAGGTTGAGTGACTAGGAACCCCTGAGCCAGGTCGTGCGGACTCTTTGGCCAGAGTTTGCCCCCAGAGCCTACTGGATGGGGTCAGGATCACCAGGGAGCCTCAAGGCCCTGAGAACCCCCGGTCAGCTCCCCACCCGCCTGCGTCTGGGGTGGGCTCCTGCTCTCACCATTCTCTCCCCACCCCCGCCCCCCGCAGCCCCTGGGAATCTCCACTGGTTCCTCTCCACTCCCGGGGTAGGGGCAGGCTCTAACAGCAGGTGGGTGGGACGCAGCCTTGTCTGTGTGCCACCCAGTGCCCCCTTCCTCACCCTGAGATGAAACACATAGACAGTGTAACC